TAGAGCTGTCCTTTTTTCTGCTTCCCCATCTTGTCCTGGAGCTTCTGGAGCAAATAGTTCTTCCTCTCCCACCTCTGAGACTTTTTGGACAAGTATCACCAGCCACATCCAAAGCCTACAGCTAGTATATGGCACAACACACGCCTGTCAGAGTCAGCACCCAAGTACTTAGAAAGTGAAGGAACAGAGCCCAGAAACTGGGTTTCACCAGAAAACTGATGACTTGTCAATAAGAGCTTGCCAACATTCAGTTGGTCCAGAGGTACATCCCAATACACCAAGAGCCTACCCTGAAGACTCAGCAGCAAAGGCAGCAAGAGAGATTCCCTGTGTGGGGAGGAACCCCAGACATAAAGTGATGCATGCCATTACACAGTGCGTGTTCTGATCAAGGCAGACACACAATGAAAGTCAAGGGAGTACAAATAAGAGTGGCCACTTGTGCCTAGAAGAACAGAGTAGGTTTCACAAAGGAGGGGATATTTGACCTGGGAAGCCATTCCCAAATCACCCGGGGAGAAGTCCTTGTTTCCTGCCCCCATGACTCCCCTACTGCTCACCACCCCAACGCTGGGCCCACCATAACTGTTGGGTAATCAGTGACTTCTGTATCTGTCTCCTTACACAGTATGTGAGCATCTCAAGGGCAAGGACTTTGGGCATTGTCCACAGCTCAGTCTCAACTGCCCAGTAAATATCTACTGACAAAAAAACAAAAGAGGCTACTCCAGGTTATTAATACTATGGCAGCTACCCCTTCTTGAGCATCTACTAAGACCTGCTATTGCTGCAAATACTCCGTATGCATGATCTCATTTCCTCCGCACAAAAACCTTAAAAGGCAGATTTTATTATCATTCTCCATTTGCAGATAAGGAAAATGAAATGCAGAAAGATTAGGTAAATTGTCCCAAGTCATACAGCCAGTGAGTAACAGCTGAACTTTGAATCAAGGGCTGAATGGAAAGTCAGTTTTCATTCACTAGTAAACAGATCCCTTTTCCTTTCTCTTTCTGTCATCTGCCCTGCATCCAGATACATGGATTGCCTGTAGTCTATTGTTCAATGGGACCAAAGCCATTTGTTTCCAAGAAAAGAACAAGGGACGTCTCTTGTTATTCTTCTAAACAATGACCGCTAACCATCATTGAGTAAACATCATGGGGAGGGCAGGGGGGACATGGACAAAATTGTGCTCACAACAGGGGCACCTGGGTGGCTCAGTCGAAGCGTCCGACTTCGGCTCAGGTCATGATCTCGCAGTTCGTGGGTTCGAGCCCAGCATCAGGCTCTGTGCTGACAGCTCAGAGCCTGGAGCCTGTTTTGGACCGTGTGTCTCCCTCTCTCTCTGACCCTCCCCTGCTCACGCTGTCTGTCTGTCTCTCTCTCTCTCTCTCTCTCTCAGAAATAAATAAAACATTAAAAAAAATCCTGCTCACAACATCAGGCAAAAACATTTATTAAGAAGGAACTATATGTACCAACCGGAACATATTCCAGTGTTGGGATAATTTCCCAAACAAATCAAGTGAATAAATGAAGGAGAAAGAGTATGTACAGACACTATTCTTCGTGTAAGAAAAAGAATATATACTAAACAAGAAAATGGTAATAGTAGTTGGCTCTAGGGAGAAGGACTGGCAGCTGGAGGCAGGAAAGACCCTCTATAATTTGTTCCCTTTTGAATTACTTGCCTTTTTTTTATGTTTATTCATTTATTTTGAGAGTAAGAGAGACTGCGGGGGTGGGGGGAGGAAAGAGAGAGCGAGCGAGAGAGAGAGCGAGAGAATCACAAGCAGGCTCCACACTGTCAGTGCAGAGCCTGATATGGGGCTTGAACTCATGAATTCCACGAGATCATGACCTGTGACGAAACCAAGAGCTGAACACTTAACAGACTGAGTCACCCAGGCACCCCATGAACTACCTGCTTTTAAAAAGAGAAGCCATGTGTGACTTTTTTTTTACTTCTTATAAAAATAAGATTAAAATCACAATTAAAAAAAAACACTTTTTGCCAGTCCTCTTCCAAATGCTCATATACATATAACTGCAACTGTGAAGAAGTATATACGCTATGAACAAAGCCTGGATGAACTTAATTTGTGGTAAAACAGGACCGTGAAACAGCTTTGGTCTTTCACGCTGAGGTTCACCAACTTCACTAATGTTGCAATATGTTTTTGCAAATAAATCAACAGCATTCAGAAGATAGAGATACAACATACATATAAGCAGCAGGGACAATGTGCCACGGTTCTTCTTAAACCCCTTCATCTGTATTTAATGAGCATCTACTACATGTTAGGCAAAGTGCTAGACAGATTTTTTTTTTTAAAGAACTAAGCAGCAGGTCATTAATTTCCTCCCTCTTGCCTTTCAGGAAAATACGACAACATGCTGATGAGAATGCCAGAGCAAACACCACCCTTGATGTTCACAGTCTCACACCATCCTCACTCAGCCTAGAAAATGGAGGTCTGGCAAAGAGATTTGTTCAAGGCTACACAAGAAGTGAAGGCCTCAGAATTACCAGTCCTGCTCTCCTTACATGCCTCATGCTGTTCTGCTGTGTTGAAAGATGAGGGGACAGAGAGGGGACAAACAGACCCTACCATATCAGGTGCTTTCAGATACCTTGTCTCATTTATTCCAACTTCTCTACGTGGACATGATTATCCTTGTTTCACAAAGAAGGTAAACAAAGCTCTGAGAAGCTGAGAAGTTGGTGCGTAAGGCTTCCAACACAGACCTGGCTTCCAGGCCAGAGCTTTCATCCTCCGTACTAAAGAGGAAAATCCATCTGAAAAGGTAGACTGGGGCCATATCGCAGAGAGCTTCGGGTTCAATATTTTCTATTGATGAAGTTTGTCTCTGATGCTTGGGTACAGTCACTCCAATAATAAGCAATTCAAAGAGTGGATCCCCTCATTATCCAACACATGTTCTAACTTCTGTGGGCCACACCAAGTCTGGGCTTTCCTTTTAACGCACAGAGCACAATGGTATTCTAGAGGGCAGCAATCTCTGAGAATCACTGGCACAGTTTCTGCCAGGACAGAAAGGGACAACTCACACATGCAGCTTCTAGGCCCTCTGGGGCCACACAAGCACAGGCCCCAGTAAGGACCCATCCCTAAGATGCCATTCCCGTGATGCCACTGGGCCACCACCACCCAGGAGAGAGGTAGCCAGAGAGGCCAGCACCACAGTGGCCGGCCTCCAAAGTTCCATACCTCCTAAAGTAAAGAAAAATGCAGGCCAGTGCAGAAGCCTCATTCTCCTGCAATGCAGGTAGGAGAAATGACAGTTTGCTCAAACTGCTAGTGAGTAGAGGTGCTGTGCACCAAAAAGTCACACACACGGGCACAGGACATCTTCTGGATAGGAGGGAGCCCTCTCATCTTGGTTTCTTCTCTCTGCCCCTGTAGGAAGCCACTGAAATCCTCACATTCCCTTCTTTGTAGTGTCTTCCTTCTGGAATGTGGTAAAAGCAGAGTTCCTACCTGGATGGGGAGGAGAAATTCCCTAAGGCTCAAGCCTAAGCCTCATGACCCAGCTCAGAGTCCTCGCTGGGGTTGGGGTCTAAAGGTCAGCAAACAATTAAATGTTCCTCTGTTTCCACCTGCCATTGCTCCCTCAGTGGCCTTAATCCAAGTCATGATCCATCCAAGATAGGACTGAGTCTTTTGGGCACTCTCTGCCATAAACCTCATCCCAAACTCAAACAAGAAAACGGCCTGCTAATTAGAAATACCCTCCTCTTTAATCTCCCAGTCCTGAATCCAGCCTCCCCATTGGCAAAGAGGAGGGAGACTCATAACTTTGGCCCGTGATTTGCTCAGTAAGCATTTTTCCATCCTATCCTCACAAGCCCCCTGGGAGGCACACAAAGCAGGCTGCACACTGCTAGATGCTCCTTTTGCAAAGGAAGACACAAAGCTCAGAGAGGTGAAAGACTCTCCGGGGGTTACACAGAGGCAAAAGCTTCTGAACCCTCATTCCCGTTCTTCCCCCTCACCAGGCTGCCATGTCAGTCTTTCGGAGACTCCCATCGGGAAGATCTGCAGCAGCATCTGGCACCAGGACCCTTCAAGCTTCACGCCAACTACTCTTCCAGCAAGCAACATTTCTCGAACACATTTCTGATCATCGAATGAATGCCAACCACCGACCCCAATCGAGGCATGCCCCCCTCTAACAGCCCACGGAAAGCCCCTGAGATCGTGAAAAACGACGCGCCCCACTTACTGCACAGCGTGGCACAGCCTAATAACCGGGGCGAGCTAAGATCCAAGGCAGCCTCAGGAGAAGCATAGGCAGGCCTGGCCAGCCCCTCTGGCCCAGCGGCAACCCTCGAAGCCTCCAGAATATTCAGAGAGCCCAAAGCTCCCGCGCCCACCCAACCCC